GAAATTCAATCCAGTAGCGAGATTTCCAACAGTCAAGGTATTCTCTTTTTTCATCTTTATTCAAGGGGGAGTTTTTTACTACTTTAGGCGGCTTGGCGTGATTTCGAGATTTGGGGAGATGCGCAGAAGCGAAAGAGTGCTACTTCTATCAAAGTGATTCCTGCGTGTGACTTCGTCCATGTTCCGAAGCGTTATCTACGTTGAATTGGGTTTTCTATTTTCATCCAAAATTTTGAGATTATTGCGGAATCTTATATCAAAATGTATTAGATGACAGTTTGTGGATTAGTATGGATACATCTGCCTTTGGAGAGGATATTTCTTTGAACCGATCCGGATCAAACTTTACGAACATATACTTCTGGACGGGAGATGTTTTATGTTTTTAGTGAGGATGTGATTACGGATGCAAAACTCACCTTCAGATTACGACTCAGATTACGATCGCCTTTCTCGAAATTATCTATATCTATTATCTGCGAACTTTGAGTTGGGACGCTAGAAGATGGTGCATAGGAATAAAACATGCTTTTTATGGAAGTAACATGAATATGGAAACCTTGCCATCATTATAGATTTCATGCTCTCAGACATTGAGCTGAATCGCCACTGTATAGGAGGATAAAGGGGGGGGGGAGGGGGGAGAATCTTTGTGACACTGCAGAAGAGTGTGGAACAGTGTAAACAGTGTAGAACACATTGCGGCAGGGAAGTGGTACAGAAATTGGGCAAGGTTCGGCATGAATAATGCCTAGAAAAAAAAGGAATAATGCCTAGAAGTAAAGAATTGGTCAGTTTTATCATGGTCTATCGACAGCCACTGACTAAAGCCGAGCACACCACGGTGGTCTGTCTTCGTTTCCAATTTCTCTCTCTCTCTTTCTCAGATTAACTTGGAAAATTTGCATTGTTGAATCTCATATCAAAGGTCAAGTACTGCGCAAACTTTCAAACATAGCCTAACCAAATCAAAATTTCTCAGCCGTCTTACTTCAGCTGAAAAAAATTTCTTAAGGATTATAAAACATAAAGTTAAAAGTAAAATAGGTTTGTGAACTGACCTTAGTTGAAAAAAAACGACATATTGAAGAGAGATGTGTGTACTATGCCTTCGATTTCACTTGCGGTGATAGACTTGCTAATTTATTATGCTGCTACATAAGTTCTGTCCGATTTTTTTGCTCAATGTTTGAAGAAGCTGTATCAAGAGAATCTCATCACTAATGCGGTATTGTAAGTACCATCAAAAAGTGCTTTTCTTGCTTTTTCTATTGCTTATCAAATTAATGAATTCCTTAGTGTAAGGTGATTTCAGGCCTAAAATCTCCAAGTGGCCGAGGTGCGTTCTCACCCTAGAAATATGTTCTTGCGAGAAAATCTCCACAATGCGCCCTTCAAGTCAAGTTCTTCATTGGTTGCGGAATAAGGGTGTAGAAGGTTAGTATGTCCAGAAGTTCGGTTTCATGAAGAAATTGTCTTGTTAGTGAGATTTAATGTCGAACATTAATTTTTTGTATAGAATTTTTATAAGCAATAACTTTCCGCAAACAGAAGTAATCGATGAGTTTAAAGTTGGAGGTGCTAGGGTAAAGGGCTAGCAGGACCCATCCATTAATACCTTTTCTGCGCTCACCTCAGTTGTAAAATTTTCATAATTCGTAAATAGGTATGCACACATGTGCTGAAGCGAGGTCAAAAAATCTCTCGCCAACGAAGACCCTAAGTGTTCTTTAATGCTGCAAAATCTACGAAAAGTTCTCTATTCATACATTGTTAGATAAGATGCTATCAATTCTCATAAGGGACTATCGCCGTGTCAAAAAAAGACAAATTTGAAGAAAAACGCTGTGAAGTTTTTGAATTCTTGCTTCTTCCTCAACGAGGAAATTCGCAGGTCTCAATATGTATCTGATAGTCAACGAACTGCTCAACACATGGAAACTACGCTCTTGGAAAAAAGTTGACTTTGAAAGAAGTTATGACATTTTGAACCCAAAAAATCCAAATCGGACAGAACTTATGCAGCAGCCTAATAATTGATAAGTTTCACATTTTGTTTTAGAGCTGTGCCTTTGATCACATTGCAGCTGCACTATGAAGGCATAGTATGTTGCACTTAACATCTAAGTGTAAATTTGCTGATGCGTTCCTTCTTTCCTATGCTCTGAACACTCTTTTGGCTTGATGCGTCAATGCTGTGCAGAAACCGTACAAAAAGAAAACACATTATTGGTTTTCGCACCAAACCTCCAATTTTCTAATCAATCTGCATGCATGGGACGACTATATGCTCTGGCGATACGATCCTTACCATAATGCAAGCATCCAGATTTCTTCGCGCCTCTTTGGGTCAATTAGTTATTCTGTCACGACATAAGTTATCTTACCAATAACGTCCGAGTTGGAACAGCCCACACATACAGTCAAGTCACCAACTCAATAGAGTTCGCGCGTTCCGGGGAAGATTCATGACTCTTAGTTAGAAGTAGTTAGTACACCGATTTTGCAAATAAACCGATAGAAATGGATACCCGCACATAAAGACTTTCTAAAGACACTCAAAAAGAGGTGGAACAAAATAAATTTTTTGCGATGTGCATCTACAAGCACGTATGCCGACAGATGGGGCACATGACCAGGACCCGGCACGAGGTTGGCAAATGGGGTTTTTGAAAATCCCTTTGACCCCGAAGTTTTTTCACGAATACACCTTTGAACCAAAACGTTATTGTGCTTGTGCAGCGAACGCTTTATCATGCAAAAAATATATTATCAACAAAATCTATCCAAAAAATTTATTGGCAACAGTATCGAAAAAACAAATGTGATGCTCATTTCGGATATCTGCAATGAGGTCAATATGAAATAAAAAGCTCAACACATGATAGTAAGTCATTCAGAGGTCGGCGCAGAAAAATGAGACTGGAATAAAAAGTACCATAAACCAACCACAACAAAAGATAAACTTCCATTTTTTGAAAATAGATCACTCATCCAGACCTTCTCATGTCAACTAAGCATTTGGCAACGGAGGATCTCGCAGTTCGAGCTTCATTGACATAATAAGGGCTGCGCCATCGATCTGAATGTAAAACTTAAGATACGAAACCATTTAACGGCAGTGTATAATCTCTATACTGAAAAAAACCTATTTGAAACTGGATGTAGGTTACGTGAAAAGAGATGCAAACATGCATATCTTATTCACATCTGCTGACGTAAGGAAAGCGAAACACACTGGCAACCACAACTATATACTTTTCCCACACATGCATGCTAAAGTTCTTTTCAGAGGAAAACAGGGTGGTCACAGGTTCTCTTGTCTTGTTCGCTTAGCAAAAAGCTCGAATCCTTTCCAGAAAGTTACTGCATTCATCCAGTCAGGTATTTCTATGTACTCAAGACCGGCTCAGCATGCCTTGTGTAGACATTTACTTGATGCTTTTAGCGATTACTGAACAAACCCGAAACCTCAAGTTTGTGCTTAGGACCACATAATCATCGAGAAACAAAGCAGCGAGAAGCAATCATTTTTCAGCGATCAGACCCCCTCCCTAAAACCCAGCTACGCATGACTCTTTGCATACTGAATTAGTACTGATCGGAGAATTACTGAAACACCCCAACTTGAGAAGCACATTTTGCGACGCTTTTTGATGTCTAAGTTGGAATTCGCATAAAGTGAGAATTAGCAGAGTCTTGGGAAGCGTTCAGAAGCGCCGGTTGCCGCCTTTCGCCGAAGCGCAGACATCGTAGAACAGAAAATTTTAAAAAACGACATCAAGGAACCATGTGGGTCGAAACTCTTTACTACTATAGAAAAGAAACTTCAAAACGACAAAATAGCGGCAAATAGAATTAAAATACCGTGCAAGCATCCCTTAAGCAAAGAAATCCCCTGATTACGTGCCCTATGGACAGAACTGATCCAGGCGCTTCGGTGTAAAAGCGACAACCGGTTCCAAAAGCCGCAACGGACGCATTCTGAAGGCTCCCTTAGGTGCTGGCCATACCTCACGCGATGTCGCCAGTTGGCAGATCCTCAGGCGACTTATCTGGCTATTTGTCATATGTCATCAAATCCAACATGGCATATCGCAAATGCGTAGTAGGTACAACTTTGATAAATTGAGAAAGGCCCCAACCTTCTCACGTTAAAAATGCGCGCCGATGAGTTTTGGACTATCGGAATACTCAAAAAGTCGCTTGGCAGATGAACATATATTTGTAACCAACGTTCTAAGACTAGTCCGATGACATACAGCATGTTTGTTATGGATGGGTTAAGTTCGGGCCATCCCCTGCTAAGAATATAGGAAACATTGAAAAAGGAAAGATAATGCAAAACTTTCGTAAACTTGAAAAGCAATAATTAATCAAAAGGAGTTGAATTTGCCTTCTTGTTTCAATGTGCTTGAGTATCGGCACACTCCCCAGCTTTGCACGCAGCATTTATGAAAAGAATCAAAGTTAGTCTGTAACAGAGAAATGTGTAGAAGTGTTGTGTATAGTTGAAATGCTCGTATCTATTTCCACTCAGGAACTTTTTTAGAATATATGAATGAACTGAGTTGAACAGCACGGAAGAAGACTTACAATATAGGGACGAAATCGCGCCTCAAATTTTTTTTTTGGAAGAATGTAAAGAAAAGTTGTAAGACAATGCAGCTTTGTGAAGATCGATAAACAAGAAAATGTTTGTGAAGTCTTGCAAAATCAAATCGTAACTAAGACAGGGCTTTGTCTTAAAAAAACTTTATCATAATTTTCAGTGATCTTGTTGGTAAAAACTCTAATTTCTGTGATCTATGAGACTCTCTGAAAACTTGCCTTTGATTATCTGTCGTTTTGACTCCAAAAAAAGCACAATCATATGTTCAAAAGATTCGCACTGATATTGCCAAAATGTCCAGTGCAATGGAACGCGCACTTCTGTGCTTTTATTCAAAGCTCTATCATGATGAGTATAAATGGTCTGAGAATAACATGCTTTCACGATCATGCATCAGTTCTACGTAATTTTTGTAAGTTAGAGAGTTTGAGTGTTGACATCTGCGATTTGAATTAATTTAGATTCTACCTGCTGTGCTATCGGCTCGAAGACGCGACTGCACTTCGCACAGAAATTTCACAGAAATAATCAAGAATCCCAATTGGACCTGCAAGGGAAAACCCAATGGGAGAAAATTGCATGACTTAGTATTACGTAGGATCGGATGGCCTCCGTATTGGAGACAGCATGTAAGCTTTTTATCTACATAATTTTACTGTTAGTATGGTTACATCAGAAAATTGTGACCCAAAGTAGAGGCCAACAAGTATTGTTCAAAACACAATAAAGTAAGAATAAGTATTGAACCTACAAATCATCATATTCAGGGATATTCAGAGAAAATGGCAAATGTCGCCTGTGCTGTAGCACATGGTGAATGCCCCCCACGAAACTTGAAAATCTGGAATATGACTTTTGGCCGACACGATCTATCCAAATACAAGTGGTCGAACTTCTCTGGGTAAGTTGTTTTATAAGCATTCAGTGATAATTCCATGTATACTTCAGAAATTTCCTTGACGCCTACGACGATGTGGCATTCCAACTCATCAAGAACATATACAATTTGGTAAGTAAGGAAAAGTTCTGATTTTGTGCAATTTTTTGAGTCTACCAATTACATTATGCAGATTTGCACTTAACCATCTGTTGGGTTGTTAACTAAGTTTTGCATCTTTCTCTAGCTTTTTTCTCTTTGAGCATGACATGCTCAAATTTCGTCATTGTGTAAAAACCGACTCAAGCTACAAGCGCAACCACCATTCTGCTAAATTCTCATATATTAGTGAGGGTTACCGTAGGTATACGATATAGGGAGAAGATTTTTCATCCCAGATTTGGCTAAAAATGGCATAGAGGGGTTATTCGACGTGCTGATCATGAAAACAATGCTAATTGTGTGGTGGGGCTTTTTTTGGAAGGCTACGGCAGGTTTACGGTATAGGGTTTTGCCCTAAACACGAAAGAGGTGTTGAACGAACAAATGATTAAGATCTTTCCAAGTTTGGGTGAATTCTGAGACTCCGATATCTTAGTCCTTCACGGTTGCCCCTCAGAAGCCCTGCGTACAGCGACTCGTTCAACTTCGCGAAGGCGCCAGATCTTTATCTGCAAAATCCATTCCTTTTTGTTGAATAGAATTATACCACCTCTAACGACAATCCATGTACAAATTCGGAGCGTTGTGCGTGTAGGCTGCAAACGGCTATATTTTTTCTTATAAGCGCATAAATCTAAGAATTTTACCAATTTTCGAAGATTGCCTGGATTTTTTTCTTAATTTTAACACGTTGTAGCTCTCCATTCTAAATAATGTGAAAAAAGGAGCGCGCCAGGGTGAAAAAGCGAAAAGTTACGGAGGAAGTTGCAAAACTTAGTTAGAGCCTAATATAATAGACCTAGCATTTTCTAGCTAGAATTTTTCTAATAGTTTCTTAATTTAATAATTTAAGTTAATAATTTCTTTATCTTACTTTTACTACCAAAACGCTTCGTGCTCCAAGTCACCGGTGTATACTTTAGACACATCAAACATATTGGTCTACTGAAGCATACGGTCCTGGCATGCAGTGGTGGGATCCAGACGTAATTCCATTCAAGTTCGGTTGCGCAAACAATTCCGAAAAACTCGCTTGTGCTGCCGAATGGTGAAAGCAACTGCAGTTTCACAGCGGGGCGGGCAAAAAATATTGATCGATCGACGGTCGATCAATATCTTTTGCCCGCTGCTCTTATTGCTGCAGCGACTGCAGTATGAAACAACCCTTTGCAGGATCTGGTGTCCGCATTTTGCATGTCTTTATAGCTTATTGAAAAAAATTCTGTGAATTTGAAGGTCTTTGCCATGTGTCCGCATTTTGCATGTCTTTATAGCTTATTGAAAAAAAATTCTTTGAATTTGAAGGTCTTTGCTATACTTATCAAGCTGCAAAGCAGCACATGATCCCAAATGTGCCACATAATTCACCACTCGTTTTAGGCAAATCTTTGAATAAAACGTTCTAAGGCTTCTTGACATTGTGTTGAGTACTTGTATCAGATGGAAAGCGCATGCGAATTTAATAAGCGCTTATTACTGTAAACATAACTAATATTTCAGGATGCTCTGGTTATTCTTCCTGTATCTTGCTAGTTTCCAAGATTGCAAACAGTGCGAATAATCCAGTTTCAATGTTGGTCGATTTTCCTAGAAAGCTAGTAGATCTAAGGTAGTGTGGAGCTAAGTGGAGAGTATACCTAGAATTATGTGTGCGGAATACTAGCGAACAAGTACTGTACCCTAATTTAACGCACGGAGGGTTCCACTTTCCAAAATCGACCACTCAAAACATGCCAAAAGATTCGCTACCTTGCGATACTATACTGTGCTGCTTATGGCTTGAAATAATCGTGCGGCATAAGGATCCTTTTCCGGAATACAGTGGACCAGCTGAGCGGCTTGCTTGAAAAATCATAAAATCTGAGCCTTGGATGCGTTACCGCAAAACATCGAAAAACGTTTAACTATAATGCTGAGACGTGGATCCTGTTAAATACTCAATTCCTCTAACATACTGCACTCTAAAGTTGTGACAAGTTTCGAGATTTATTGCTCCATCTAATTAGTCGAACTGCAGTGGATGTGCAACTGTATGTGTATAGAGTGGTTAGATTTGCGGTGCTTTCACTAGTTCTACGTTACTTCAGCTTTACATGCTACTTTATCACAGCACAGGATGTACAAATGTGCTGCGGAACATTTTTCTGTACTTACGAGGACACATTTTCAAGATAACTCCGTGACTATTGGAGTAGCTGGCATATCAAGCTCCTTGCTGATTTTGAATGTCTCATAATTTGTGATGTACGAAAATTCTGCCACTAATGGCAACTAAAAAATTTATCAGCAACTTTTCAATCTGCTAAGCCAACAGGTTTGTTATGACAGGATCTTTGTTTGAATGCCCTAACGTCGCGACGCGTTCGTCTTTCTCAGATTTTTAAGAACGGTATAAAGTATCATTTATAAACCAAACCATCAAATACCCTTCTAGCCTAGTCAGCTTCGCCCTTTTTCCTTACTCAGTCCGCTTCTCAAACCCGAGATAAGCTCAATTGTTTACACACCGCGATATGAATTTCACGCGCCGGAAAGAAGTGACAGTCAGACCTCACATTCATGTCACAGAAGTGAACAAGTGAGCTATACTCTAGACCAAAGGGTTCGTCTGCTAAGGGATAGAATCTGACAACCATCCATAGCTCACATAGTAACGCAAACGGCAGGAATCAGCATTGGATGAATTAGTGACGATAAATGATATTAGGGCACTGTAACCTTCGAATGCCTGTCTAAATACCCAAAACTGCCACGCGGGTCTTTACTAGTACGCACACACACACCTCAAACTTGGGTAATCACGTTTACTTGAAAAACTATAAAGGAAAAACCGACTAAATAAACATGGAACAAAATAGCATGAGACATATATCTAAAACTACATAACAAATGCAAACGAGTATTAATGCCAAATGATACTGACGAGAATAACTGATAAAAGGGATATGTGTGGCAATCATATTTGCTATAATACTTGTTTATCCTGTTCTACTCAATACTTGATTTTCATACTTGCCTTTTATACTTTTTGTATGATCGTTTTTGAAATTGGAAGAAAAAGAGTAGAAAAACTGTTCAAAATCAAAGTCAGAAAAGACTCTACCGTAACACAAGCTTATATACCTTGATGATAGATGTTACAGGAAGGTACGAAAGAAAAATGCAAATTAATCAAAGAAAAATGATGAAGCAGCTTCTTGCTGCGCTCGACGATTCCTTGAAGTTATCTCGGTTATCATCTTCCTTGACGCTGAGAAACAGGCGCGCCAAGCATACTTTCTAAAATAAACATAACCACAAAACAAGAGTTTAGCTCAATAATTACCTGTATGTCGTGGAGCAATTCCTTGTGTATTGTGAGTCGTTTCACGACAAGCATTGATAAATGAGCACTTTTGTTTTCCGGACTCCTCGCAGAGATGTCATGAATACTCCATTTTCAATTAAATGGATTCAATCGCGCTTAGATATATCAGCGATGTTCTTCGGGAATTTTGCTGTAGTTAGCATCCAGCGCCCCTTTGGAATCTGAAGATTTGCAAAGTACCGGATTGGATTTTAAACTGGGAACAAATTCGAGGCGGAGAAATCGCACCTCTTTACGCTTCCGCCTTCAAGGAAGGAGGAGGGAAAGGGACGGATTTCTCCCTTCCAAGTGAAGTGGTTTATGGCCATAGTCTCCGAATTTTTTGGAGTTCGTCAACTTTTGCTCCCGGGAAATATCATCTAGATCACTTCAATCTCCGAATAAAACAGCATTGAGCTAGTTCTAATTTGAATGACATCGAAAATTCTATTTAACACTTACCTTCCGTATCTCATGGTGGAAGGAAGGTCATAATTTCTATTAGAACAGGTGCTTATCTCTTCAGATCAGTCAGGGAATTTATTTTTGTTATCTAACTAGTAAATAGCAAACACTTCCTATTTGTGTTTGCAGTAGATTCATTGTGAATTTAAAACACAGCTACGCAATACATTTTGAAGCCAATGAATTGCAGCTCCACGAATTCTATTGACTGCCATTGAAGTACATCGGTAGAATTGATTTTGATGCTGTAAACGAAGTCATAAGTAGTTGTCGGAGATGCAAAATTGTAGAGGGGAAGGTGGATAATCTGTGGTGCTTAGCCCCTTTTGGGCATGACCTTCCAGCTGTCGGAAGCAGGCATTTTCAGGCCAACGTGGAACAAGCATTTTTCTTACTGTCCCAACTTCGATGATTCATGTAAGTAATAGCAGTGATGCAAACAAGTCTCTAAAAGGGCTATCGAGAATCGTCAGATCTACTCAAATATTGTGTAGCATTGGGAGTTGCCATCGATATACAGATGTACAAACTACAAGTTTGAATATCTTCACAGCAGGCGTATCAACAGTGGGGGGGGGGGACGGGGGAGAGGCCCCCCTCTTCGAGAATGGTTCGCGAAATTTTTGAAATTTTCTTGTATGATTCATAAAAATGTGCAAGCTATTGTTCATACTTGTAATTTTCGGAAATTTAATTCAGCCTTATGAATTTTTTTTCGGGAGCTTCCCTCCTGCCATGCCCCCGTTTTCGGAATTTTGGGTTATGAGTCCGCAAAAATTTCAGGGAGTGTAAAAAAATTTCTCAGAGCTTCATCAAAAAAAAACTTTTTGTCGCGTTCCACCTCACCCGAGCGGAAATCCGGAGTACGCCGCTACTTCACTGGTAAGAGTTGCTTTCCAGAGGAAAGAAAATACATTAGGAATCATTACGGTTTCTTTCGGCCCTATTTGTGTTAAAAAAGGGAAATTTGCTTTCTTACTTGGCATGTGAAGATTTTTTCCCTTTTTATGACTGCGGCTCTGTTATGAATGTTTTGTCAGCTATCAATCACACAAAACTACAGAGCTAAACAACCCTTTTGCTAATATCGACTTCATAATATTAAAAGACGTCTTACGAGGAAAGTCACTTCCATCAGATCCTTGCTCATTTGCAAAATGAAGCTTATGAATGTTTGTTATGTGCACCGTTTTCATTTTGCTGAGGAGGCATGTTGGCAGGAAAAATGCTTGCAACCTTTCCCCTTTCAAATGTCGCAGAATCTCACCCAGGTCATGAGCCAGGAATGCTTGGTGACTTAGGAGGACCTTACTTAAAGGGAGGGATTTTTGGATTTTGTGAAGCATACGCCAATAGGACACTTTCTGGTTGTTGTCTCATAAAAAGCAGAATTACTCTGAGTTGGAATATCAGCGTGAGATTTAGGCTGTGTGTCTATGGCAACATTTTTCTTTCTTTCAACAGCATTACTTTGATTTCTGGTATGTGTTAAAGCCGGGCCGTCGTGACAACCCCTCTCAAAAAGTCTCAAGTTTTCTGATGTCTTTGCTGTAAGCTAAAGAATATTTTTAAAGTTGTTTGCATCAGATCATTCCATAAGTTCCACCTATTTTGACTTTCAAACGCAATAAGTACTGTACTACTCATTCCCAAATAGGTTGCAAAGTACTGTTCGGTAGAACAAAGCATAATCTGCGAGGTGACGTTTTGCTTTTGCACCAGCTTTGAACTGAGTTTGAAGCCAGAGACCAGAAATATTCAATTGCTTCTGCAAACCTATAGAAGTGCAAATGCAAATTTTCAGCTTTCACAAGTTTTAGTTCGCAAGAAAGATCTGGGGTTAGAGACCCGTCTAAAGAGGATCCGATATTTCTCTAGAATCAAAGCTTATAACAAGCCGAAAATTCATGTTTGCACTTCTATAGGTGTGTAATACACAACCGCTTATGTGAGAAGTACAGCGCCGCTTTAGGAAAGGCTTAAAGGCAGCGTACACCCAAAATTTGAGTTACCTAATTTTCTAGATCTTTCTATACCGTGTATATACTGGGCCCAGAAGAAGACCAACTGCGTTGGTTTGGTCTCCCAATGTTGCTTCTGAGCGGAGAAAACCCCCCTCAATTTTCTTTCACTCGGCCCCTTTTCTTTCACTCCGCCTCCTCCGGACGAATCCACGACAGCGTAAGCTTCAGTTGCCGTTGCAGTTGCAACAGCACTGTTGCATCTGCAACTGCAGTTGCA